TTTATTTCTAACCTAGGAATGGCTTAGTTTCCATGTTTTTTAGTAGAGAACCCAATAGGCATTTTACCATAGGTTTTTAGGTCAGCCTGTAAAAGACTCTTAAAACCATAATAAATCTGAAATGTAATAATAATTAAACTATTATATAACAGTGGAGTTCAAGTTTCAGATTGGGGTATTCCTGGAGCAAAATTGAAGATTGCTGCTACTACCCATTCCTGCATCCTCCATTTGGGAGTAAAATTTTTTTAATTGGGGACTGAATTTAGCTATCTGTACCAAAAAATCCAAATAACAGTAGTTAAACAAATGTCTCATTTAACAAATCCAGCAGCAGTGTCCTGCATTGGTAGAATGATTTCATAATGTCAGAGATTACCCCCCCCCCCCCCCCCCCCCGTCATCTTTAGGGCATTATTTTCATTGTCGTCCTGATTGCAGAATAACTGCCAGATGTTCAGCCATTAAATCTGCATCCCAGGCAAGAGGAAAGAGCAGGAAGGAATGGCTGGTGCCTATGTCAAGAAAACAGCTTCCCTGGAAACCCTCATCTCATAGGCCCAATCCTGATACAGGGCCACTCCTCCCTACAAGAGAAAACACTCTGTCACCTCAAGAGAGGGAGGGCCTGTAGAGGACCAATAGGCTTTTTACTTTGAGACACTAGGACACTAATGGCGGCTCACATACCCTGGCAGCTCCTGATGGGGTAGGGTTGGGAGCAGCACAGGACTGTTGGGGGTGCAAGAAAGATTCCTGGGATAAAATTCCTTAGCAATTTCCTTTTCGCTTTAGTCAGTCCGGGGATTGGTTTGCCTCTTCCCTTTCTATTGCCGCTACTTACTTCTGCTTGGACTTTTATATGTCTGACTCATTGCAGAGAAGAATACTACCTATTTTCAGCCTTTTCCTTATTCTCCCAGTCTCTCAAGGCAGTACCTACTCACCCCGTCTTTCTTTTTGTTGTAAGGATTTTTATAAAATATTAAAGCTTTCCCCATTTTTATTCTCTGTAGTGGAAAGTAACTTTTGAGATTTCCTTTCTTTCCTTCTCCTTTTCTTCTGTACATGCTGCTGCCCTTGAAAGATAGGCCATATTAGAGTTGCTGCTCTATAAGTGTTAGTTTCCAGTAGGAAAAATTAGTCTTCCGTTTTCTCAGATACAGGGTCTGATTTAAGTCATTGGTAAATCGAAAAGCCACCGTTTCATTATAGCACCAGGGTATAAGTAAAGATTTGGGATGAAGCGTTCCCTACCCCCTAGCTGAGGAAAATCAGAGAAGACTGTAAATGGAGTCTGCAGTGTTGAGTGGAGGGAGAGGTAATAAGAGCAGTGCAGGTCTGGCCGGGTAAGGGGGTGACGGGGGAAGACTTGGGAAGGGGCAGTGGTCAGGGACTGCTGTTTTCTTCACTGGAGTTGTAGTGCCAAAATGTGCTTTTGGTTATTTTGTTTGTACCAAAGCACCTACATAAGCTAAATTTATTTTTTAAAGAATACTATGTAGATATTTGCTTCAATGAAACATTTTCTATACTTTTATCAAATGCAGTTGATAATGGTGAAATTCATGGCTTTCTTTCACAAGAGTTATTTCCGAAAGAAACCTTTTTTACTCTCTTGTTTTAAGTTTACTATATAAACATTGATAACCCTTGTTGTACTAAATGTAAAAAATTTAAATTTAAAAAAAAAATAGATTTTTATTGATTTTAGAGAGGAAGGGAGAGGGAGAGGGAGAGAGAGATAGAAACATCAATAATGGAATCATTGATCAGCTACTTCTTGCATGCCCCCTACTGGGGAGCGAGCCCACAAAACCTGGGCATGTGCCCTTAACCAGAATCAAACCCAGGATCCTTCAGTCTGCAGGCTGACACTCTATCTACTGAGCCAAACCAGCTAGGGCAATGTTAACATTTTTAGATTTCTTTTTACATATGACCCATCTTAAGACTAGCTGATTAAAATAAGAACTTACAACCCAAATAAATATGCAATTCTATTACAAAATTACTCTCTCTTTAAGAAAAGAATAATGAACAAAAGCTTCCTTTAAAGGATTATCTCCTCTCTCCATGATTTGATTTGCTCAATTATTTTATAGAAAATTTATTGAGCTACACTTACAGTATTTTATTATTTATTCTCATAAAAAGGTCAGAGGTGGAGACTAATAGAGGTTAAATTCCTGGACTCTGTTTTGGAATAAAAGGTTGCTATAGGAACTAAATTTAAATTCTGAAGATAAAAATCTCTTGTAATGATGAAGCTCAGAGACATATCAAGGGTTCTTGAAAGTCTGTCGAAAATGTTAATGGAATGTATGTGGTTAGTCCAAATGTCAGTAATGTAACCTTGTCAAATTAATCAGTTCCTTTTTTTTTTTTTTTTTTTTTTTTTTTTTTAGCAATAGGGAAGAAAGTTAAAGATAAAAGACCAGGAACACAAAATCTTTATGTAATATTTATTGATCATTAATACATTATACTTTCTCTCCTATATATTGTACTCAGTTGTAACATTACTAGTAGAGTCTGTACTGACAGAGAATTTAAAGGCAGCATTGGCTGATATCTTGTTAAACTCCCTAAGGAGTTATTTTTTCATGAGTTTTATATGAGTGGGATATGAAAGTGTTCTGAGTTCTGAAGGTTTACTATAAATACTGGTGTTTTATTCGATATTAATTTTGATGGAGTTTATCTTTTCAGAGGTTATCCTTTGGGTCCCAGAGGTTTTGTCATACTTATTTTTAAATCTTCTGAAGCCTGACCAGCTCTAATTGAAGAATGAGTCTTCAGATGAATAGTTGTAGTATTTGTTTTTTTTTTGCTGTTTTTTTTTCACTAATACATGCATATTCTAAATGTCAGATTTCTTCTGACTCTACTGAGACAGAGCATTCTAAAGTTTTGGTAGTCATATGATTTTTAAATGTATTATGCCAATACCCAGTTGCTAGTAATGAAATACTAGTAGCCTCCATTAATTCAAAAGTAAGGATGTTGAGGCTATTCAAGGTCTTTTTTTTTAGATCCATATAAATTTTTGGAGTATTTTTTCTATGTCTGTGAAATATGCCATTGCTATTTTAATAAGGATTGTGTAGCAATCTTGAGAAAGAATAACAAAGGAGGGATCACAATTCCAGATATCAAATTATACTACAAAGCCATTGTAATCAAAACAGCTTGGTACTGGCACAAGGATAAGTATATAGATCAATGGAACAGGACAGAGAATCCAGATATCAACCCAGGCCATTACACTCAATATTTGACAAAGGAGGCAAGAACATTCAATGGAGTAAAGGTAGTTGCTTCAATAAATGGTGTTGGGAAATCAGAGACATGCAAAACAAAACAAAAACAAAAAACTAGATCACCAGCCTACACCATACACAAGAATAAACTCAAAATGAATAAATGACTTAAATGAATAAATTCAAAATGAATGAAAGACTTAAAAAACACAAAAATCCTAGAAGAAACCACAGGCAGCAAAAATCTCAAACATCTCTCATAGTAATATGTTTGCCATTACATCTCCTAGGGCAAGGGAAACAAAGGAGAAAATAAACAAAATAAAAAAGTTCTGCACAGCAAAAGAAACCACCAACCAAATGAAAAGAGAGCCCACTGTAAAGGAAAACACATTTGTCAATGATATATGTGATAAGGGGTTAATTTCCAAAATATATAAGAAACTCATACAACTTAACAAAAGGAAGACAATCTAGTTATTTCAAATGTTTCTTTTTCACTCTAACCGTTCAGTGTAGAAAATGAGCCATTGAAAGGTTCTAAGCAGAAAAATGACATGGTTTGATTTGCATTTAGAAAGGTCACTGTAGCAGAAACCGGTTTGGCTCAGCGGTAGAGCATCGGTCTGCGGACTGAAAGGTCCCAGGTTCGATTCCGATCAAGGGCATGTATGTTGGCAGCTGGTCGATGTTTCTCTCTCATTGACGTTTCTAGCTCTCTATCTCTCTCCCTTCCTCTGTGTAAAAAATCAATAAAATATATATATTTTTTAAAAAGATCACTGTATTATTATATATTAGTATGAAACTAAAATTGAAACTGCGTGAATCAGCAAGACCAGTGTGGAGGTTGCCACAATGGCTAAGGCAAGAAATTGGAAACTTAACCAGGAAGGTAGCAATGTTGGCCAGAGAAAAAAGAGTTATGTTTAAACTGTTGTATTGAGAAGTAGAATTTAAAAGACCCAACGATCAGTGTGGTATGATGGGAAGAGAGGAATTTGGGTTATTGCTCAGCTCTATCCCTTTGGGCATTGAGTAAATAATGTTGATTTGATCAGGTGAGCAGCGAGATGAGAGTGAAAGACCTTGCCTGTAGCTTTAGAACTGGGAAGTGTGTGGTAACTACCTCAGATCCAATCTATTAGTAAGAGTAAGTAATGGGCAAGTTGGGTGTAGAACTTAGGAGCCAGGCATGGACTGGAGAAATAGAGTTGGGGTTCATAGGTATCAGATGAGGCCATGGGAGGTCAGGAGGAGGTGGGTTTAGCCAGAAGGACCATGAAGTGAAGAGATAAAAATGGAGCCTGGGTGAGTCCTTATAACTTCTAATAGCTAGTGGTGTGCAATGACAATAATTCAGGCTTAGCTATTTAAAATAAAGCAGGTTTTTGCAATGTTCCTTCTCTGACAGATTTCAAATACATCTGCAATGATTTTAAATAAAATTATGGTAAAGATCTGCCAAAATTCTGATATGTTTCCACAATCTAAGAATATCGTGGATCTCTGCCTAATCATTGGTTGAATTTTTATTTCAACCAATGGATATGTTTGTTTGTTTTCATTCTCATTTTATTTTATTTTACTTTGTTCTTCATTAAATTGACTATGTTGGTCTTAAATATGACCAGTGAAAATTCATTATATTGCTCAATAAAAACTTATACTTCAATAGAAATCATTCTTCTTTAACTATGAGCCCTTATACTCTCTCACGTTATTTGTTTACCTAAGGAAATGCAACTTCACCACAAGTGCAAAGACCGTCTTTCATGGACTACTTTGATAAGCAGGACTTCAAGAATAAGAGTCATGAGAACTGTAATCAGAACATGCACGAACCCTTCCCTATGTCCAAAAATGTTTTTCCTGATAACTGGAAAGTTCCTCAAGACGGAGACTTCGACTTTGTAAGTACATTTGAATTCTCTTATTTTTATTTTCTCCATTATTTTATTGACGGATTGCGAATCATAGTAGCATATGTATAAAATTATATATACTATAGATTGATATTCAACATATAGTCATAAATGTGACTAGGGGAAAGGTATAGTTGTGGTTTTCTTGTAGAAATGTATTTGCATAGAATTGTAAATAATTGAATACAGTTAAATAACTCATAGCCCACATTTACAGAAATATTTAGGACAACTTTAAAATTAAAATGACAACTATTTCAAAAGATGTTTCTAATAGTGCAAATATGAGATACTTCTGACAGTCAGTAAATTCCGTTTCCAAAACAAGTGATACAACATTTATGACATAGACTTGGAGAAATTTGCCTCAACTTTGAAAGTTAACTGAATTTGTTTCTACTTGAGTGTTAATTCTAGTTGGTTTGTCAGAAATAATAGCCCTATTTTTTTTTCTAGTTAGCATATAAACTTCAGTACTAAACTGTGCTTTAACACCTCTTTTATTACATTTTCTCTTTTTTCTTCTGCCCTTTTCCTTTTTATTTCTTTTAAAGAATGCAAATAATACAGACAATTCAAAAGCAACTATTTCCACATCTTGAGAGAGTAATTTCTCATAATGAGTTTTTTAATGGAGAAGCCATTTTTATGGAGATTTTTGCTTTAGCATGTTTTAAATAGTATGTTACTTTTGGGTATTATTCTGAAAGATTTTTTTTTTCCCCTCACATGAAATAACTACAATCCTTCACAGCTATATTTATAATAAATATATTTATTCATAAGTAAATAAAATTTTAGATGTATGTATGTCTTTAATTTTTTACGCAACTTTAAGCCATTTTGCTTAGTCAGCATGCCTCAAAATATTTTTAATGTTGAGTACTTTACTTCTAAATATTGTGATTATTTACATTTTTTAAATAATCAGATAATAGTTTCAAAATCTGTCCTTAATAAGTTTAGTACTAATTGCTAGCAAATATTAGCAGTAGCGCAGGTTATCCTGAAAACATTGTGATATTTACTTACTGTCTTTTCAATTTTGAAGTTGTAAATTAGAAAAATAAAATCTGTATTTCTGTAGTTTTTGTAAGATTTCATTTTAAGTTACTTTTTTAAAAATTATAAATTATTTAGAATGCTGATATTCAAGTTTTTTAAATCATTCATGGACATAATGAATTATGTAGAATATTTAGCATCAAAGAACTCTGTCTTGTCTCAGCTAGAATAAATCTTAATAGCCTCCGGGAAAGAGTATGAAATGAGCTACAAAGTAATGAATAAATTATCATAGTAAGATATTAAATAAAATTATTTAATTATTTCAATTATTTTTTCTACTTATTGGCTTAAAACTGCAACTTTTTACTTGCTCACACTTTTGTGGGTAAGCAGTTTGACTAGGTTTAGATGAGTGGTTCTTGTGCTGGATTCACCTGGGTGACGAGTGGCTGCTGTCATCCAACAGCTTGACTAGAGTGAATGATCGAAAATTACCTCACTCCTGTGTCCGCCAGTTACACTGACAGTTAGCAAGGCCACATGACCCTATCAGGCAAGTCTGGAGTTTTTAGGTGGCGGTAGTAGCCTGCTAAGAAGGTAATAGCAGAAGTTGTAAGGCCTCTTGAGATTTTGGAGTCCTTCTACCTGAAAATTCCAAACTTGTTAGAAAACAAACTAATTTAACAAATGTTCTGCTTTCTACTTTAAATTGTGCTAGGCACTATAGGATATAAACACGCATCCATAATATTTATTAAATTAAAAAGGCAAGGTATTAACTATTAAGTTGTATTACAGAGCAGTAATTCTAATGTCATATGGTTTTGCATAAGCGGGGGAACTCAATATTAAGGTTCGAGTGGGCTATGCAATTGTATCATTGTGAGGGCTTTGTCTAAGCATTGAAAGATGGATAGCAGGAGGAGGGAATGCCGGCACTACCGAGAATGATGCATATAATAAATAGCTTAGAAATAGGAAGTCACAAGTTGTATTGGGTGACAAGGACACAATGAAGGAAATAAATGGAAAGGGTCAGATGTCCGTGAGCACAAGATTGCAGAGTCTGAATTTTTATTTCATAATAGAAAGCCACGGAAGGTTTTCAAGTTGGGAGTGACATGATGAACTGTTTTAAGATCTTAATCTTGATGGCAGAAGGACTTGATTGCTAGGAAAAGACTAAAGGTAGGAAAAACCAGTTATGTGACATAGGCTTACAATAATATACAGATGGTCTATGACTTAACAATGATTTGACTTGCAATTTCTGCTTTAGGTGATATGAAAATGATTCCTCTTTTTCTTTGTGTTTCACGTTCAGTAGGAATCATACTTAAACTTGTGAATTTACTCATTTCCCTGGACTAGTGCTAGGCAGTACGGCACTGTCTCACGATGCAGAGCAGCAGCAGTGAGCAAGGCTCCCAGTCAGACACAGGACCACCGGAGACAGCTGATATGTTGCCCTGTATTATGTGTGTTACCAAGTGTGTTGGATATTGTGCTCTGAGCATGTTTAAAATAGATTAGGCTTAGTTATGGTGTTCGGTAGGTAAGGCGGTTAAATGTATTTTGACTTTATTTATTTATTTTTTTATTATTTGGTATTTTAGATTTCCTAAACCATTGCCCAAAGCTACTATTTATTTATTTATTTATTTTTAATATATTTTATTGATTTTTTACAGAGAGGAGAGAGAGGGATAGAGAGCTAGTAACGTCGATGAGAGAGAAACATCGACCAACTGCCTCTTGCACACCCCCTACCAGGGATGTGCCTGCAACCAATGTACATGTCCTTGATTGGAATTGAACCTGGGACCTTTCAGTCTGCAGAACGACGCTCTATCACTGAGCCAAACCGGTTTCGGCTTGACTTGATATTTTCAAATTACGACGGGTTTATTGGGAGGTTACTCCACTATAAGTTAAGGAGTATCTATAATAATAAAATGGGGGAGAAAAAGAAAGAAAAACAGGAGTAGATGAAGGATGCATTAGAAAAGGTTAATCAATAGAAACAGCCAACTTACTAGAGTGAGGTGAAGAACTAAATAACAGAAGGTGAAAGAAAAAAAAATGTCCTCCCAGTAGGAAAGAGGCTTGAAAAGATCCTGCGACTGGGATTATTTTTTTCTGACTTACACAGGGCATGGAGCCTTAAAAGGGAGCGGAGGAGGGGCGGAGCGGCTAGCGCAGTGCTTCCCTCTTCAACATTCACTGCACCTGTCAACTGGAAGCACCCAACCCTCATCACTTCGCTGCAAATGGAAGGTGTTTGTGAATAGCTCCTGAGGCTCGTGTAAATGGGGATAAATAAGAGATGAATAAGGCAGGATTGCCAGATGCATAAAGAAGTACTAGAAGTAGCAGTGAGTGTGGTAAAGGACAAAGGAAGGTGTGGAAGAGGGGCTAAAAGAGACGAGGGCCAAGTGTAAAGGGGCCAGTGGAATATTTTGCTTACTAAGTAAGGGAATGCTCTGAAAGCAAAGACAGATTTCCACTTATGACACCAGCTGGTAATGATAAGAGAAGTCTGGTCTTATTCATTCCATCATACATTAGACATAGGATGTAAGAAAAATTGACTCATCAAAGTAAACAGTGTGCTAAGATTTGTGTGTTTATCTGCCCTCTTTATGATGTATGTCAGGGCTACCTTCCAAAAGAACTGGCTTCATGTGATTCCTGTGTCTATTAAATAGAAGCTGCTTTAAAGAGCCCTAAGTTGTTTTGACTGTATTTCCAGGATGTAGAAGTCTTATCCGTCTGCATTGAGGAAAATAGGTTTCCAGAAAGAAAAATGAAGAGAACACTTCATTACCTTTTGTAGAATTCAGAGCAGGTTCCTAAGAGACAGAACTTATTCAGAGGCACCTGCTGGACAGATGTGTGGAGCAGGAAGCATTCTTTATCTTACAGCCTGTCTGCAACATCATGTGTGTCTTTCCTTTTTTAATATATTTTTATTGACTTTAGAGAGAGAAGAATGGAGAGAGATGAAAACATCAGAGATGAGAGAGAACCCTGGTTCGGCTGCCTCCTGCAAGCTCCCTACTGGGGATAGAGGCTGCAACCCAGGCCTGTGAATCGAACCCAGACCTTTCTATTCCCAGGCCAACGCTCTAGCCACTGAGCAAAACCATCAAGGGCTGTGTCTTTTCTTTAGCATTGTCTTTTGGATTTTCTGTGAACTGTTGTTTCATATTATGTTCCTGGATGTAATGGGATGACAGGAGAACTAATTTGTGTTCATCAATGTGGAGGTAGTGTAAAGATAGGATAAAATATTTTTAGGCTAATTGAACTTATTATTTGAACTTTACTAAAAACTGTTTTGGGTGTGTCTGTGAAGATTTATAAAACAAACATAAAAGGCAAATCTGTTTATTATAGCACTAGTCTAATGTTTCAGGTTTTGTTAGAATTATTTCCAAACAGCCTTAGCATCCAGATTGTTAGTGTTAAATAGAGAGTGTGTCGATCATGTTTGTAGAAGTTACAGCATCATTCATAAGTAGATATATTTTGAGTAACATAAAGATTTTGGAATAAGAACAAAACTTTAAAAGCCATCTGTTAACCCACTATATTCATTCCAAATTTTTTTTAAAGGAAAGAAATTGGATTGACAATAATTACAAATGTAAGAGGAATTAGGTAAATTAACCATTGTTTGTTTTTTGACTCAAACTAAACTGTAAATTAACATTTCTTAATTACTGTGATTCTTAAATATTCCATTGGTGATGCTCTTTTGAGCTAAGGGACAGGAGAAGTGAAAAAAAGTCTCAGTCATTGTGGCAGAAGGAAAAGGCTATAAATTTGTCTCAGGCTTTTCTAAGTTTTTACAGTCTTCCTCTGATTCCTGGATTGCCAAGTCAGTGTGGCTATAAGGAAACAAAAACGAAACAAACATCAACAGAAATTCTCACTGCTCTAAAACAGAAAGCAGCGAACCCAGAGGAAGGAGCAGC